TTGAATTTCTCTCTTCAATTTAAACCCTTTGAAATTAATTTTAATTCAAAATATATACAAGGGAGACCCCAGTTTAGTTTCTACGAAATTTGGTCTGGGTCAACAAAACCTAAGTTTTCAAACCTTTCAAGTTTAGTTGAAGTTACTCAACTTCTCACCGCACTTGTAAATTTGTTCCCACTTGTCGTTCCGACAGGGTCAAAATAGTTAGAGGAAATTTTCTAATAGAAAGACCGAATCTTCTACTCCTGATAAAAATCAAATCTTGTCTTTGAGAAATGTGTGTAAGCCCCTGCATAAAGACATCTCTTCCTTTAAGGCCTTTTTAATAAAATTACACTCTATGCTGGGTCCAAGATCAGACTCACTAGAGGAGTATTTTATAATGTTGGGAATTGACGTTCAAAATTAAACCACGACTGAGTAGAGTGCCCGTCCCCAATTTGAGAAGCTCGAGGCCTTGTAGAGCTTTTTCTTTAAGGCTCAATAAAATTCAGAATCATACGAAGCCTGGTTAGTTGAAGCTCGTGATAAGATAGAGCAACTTAGAACCTTCCAAGTAGGAGACTTAGTCCAGGTTCTTTGGATGCATATCTTAGCCTACCGAGAGATCGGTAGAGGAGTTTGAACCAACACAAGACTGTCCTCTTATCGTAGAGACAATCTTTGAGAAAATTTTAAACATTAACTAATCAACCCTGAAGAATGCCACCCGATAATTTCAAACATCGGGGCAGCTCTTCAGGAAGTACCATGCGAGATGAGTGTCAAAACTTAAAATTAGATAAAAAAAATCTTCAAACCCAAACCAAATCAAATTCAAACTCTTCAAATTCAAACAAATAAAAATCAATCAAATCAAATCTCCAAATTCAAAATCAAACCTCAAGTTCAAAGATCCTTTAAAATCAAATAAAGTTTCAAATTCAAATTCGTTAAATCAAATTTCAAATTTGAACATCCTTAAACTCAAAACTAAATCAACTCAAATTTTTAAAATCATTCAAATCTCAAATTTTAAAGTTCAGATTCGATCCTCTATGTAGAGAAAGTTTCCTCTACATACGATCGATCCAGACCTGATCCTCTATATGGAGCAAGTTTCCTCCATATAAGATCATTCCAGATTCGATCCTCTATGTAGAGCAAGTTTCCTCTACATATGATCGATCCAGACCTGATCCTCTATATGGAGCAAGTTTCCTCTATATATGATCATCCAGACCTGATCCTCTATATGGAGCAAGTTTCCTCTATATACGATCATCCAGACCTGATCCTCTATATAGAGAAAGTTTCCTCTATATAAGATCATTCCAGACTCGATCCTCTGTGTAGAGCAAGTTTCCTCTACCAGTGATCATTCCAGACCCGATCTTCCATGAGAAGCAATGGTTCCTTCTCATAAGATCTTTGAGTTTCTCTTCCTTAAGGACAGATGTGAGTCATCGTGCTTTCTATCCTTAGGATTAGATCTACTAGTGGTGGAGCACGCCCTCTATGGCACCATCCTAGTTTCAAATTCTAGATTTGATCTTTTGTGCAGAGCAAGTTTCCTCTCCACAAGATCATCCTTTAGTGATGGAGCACGCCCTCTACGGCACCATCCTAGTTTTCAAATTCCTAACCCAACCTTCTGTGGGAAGTAATGCTTCCTTCCCACAGGGTCCTCTAATCATCTTCTCCTTAGGGTTAGGTTTCCTCCTTTCCTTAGGATTAGATCTACTAGTGGTATAGTACGCCCCTTGTGGCACTACCCTAGTATCAAATTTCAAATTCGATCCCCTATAGTTAGGAGTTCTTCCTTCCTATATAATCATTCGACCTGTCTTCTCCTTAAGGTTAGGTTTCCCCCTTCCCTAAGGATTAGATCTACTAGTGGTAGAGTATGCCCCTCGTGGCACTACCCTATTATCAAACTCAAATCCGATCCTCTATGGTTAGGAATTCTCTCTTCCTATAGGATCACCTAGGCTTTCTTTTCCTCTAGGGATAGATTTTTCCATCCCTTAGGATTCGATCCACTAGTGGTAGAGCACGCCCTTCGTGGCACTACCCTAGTATCAATTCAAACCTTAATTCCCCAGGGATAGACTTTCTCCTCCCCTTAGGATCAAAACTCCAGACTTAACCTTTGAATTTGGTCAACGCCAATATGTGCAATAGAACTTCATTCTATTACACATATTGGGGGTCCATTTGTTGACCTCATTTTTGTATGAGGTCACCTGGACCAGTCCTGACCCCAGATCAATTTAATCTCTAGACCAATCGAAACTCTAGGATCCTCCTAGAATCCCGACCTTAGGATTTATTCTAGATCCTAGGATCAATCTAGACCCCGGACCCTAGGATCTACCTTGACCCTAGGATTCTCCCAGATCAATCTAAACCCTAGAATTCTTCTAGACTCTAGGCCTTAGGATCCACCTAGATCCTAAACTTCTTCTAAATTTTAGATCTCAGGATCTACTCTAGATCCCGGAACTTCTAGACTCTAGACTCTAAGATTTTCCTAGACCCTAGAATCCCTTTAGGTTCTATCAATTCAAACTTCAAATCAATCCTGCCTAACCCAGATCTCAATTCAAATCAAACCTCAATCAAAATTCAGACTCTAATCCAGTTCAAGATCTTAATCTCCAGTTCAAAATCTTGATCTTATTTCTGATTAAACTCCAACCTTATCCAATCAATTATGATTCTCCAAATGATCATAAATGATTTAGATAACTCAAACTTAATCAATCAAACTCAAAATCCAGATCAATTCCAAAATCCAGACTCAAATCCAAAGTCTAGAAGCCGTGTCCTAAAGGCCTTTTCCAGTGAATTTTCAAACACTTCAAAACCCTATCAAATGACCTCTGCTTCAGGGTCTGTTAGTTGCATACTGATGGGACATGTCTCTAGAGGCTACCCTCCAAATTTGAGCTCATTTTGAGGTCTCTAACCCTAGAATCTAAGTCAAAATCCAAAGGCTGTAAAACTTTCAAATATTTACGGCCTATGCCACTGGACCTATCACTTTGAAGATTCTGACCTTAGAACCTTCACCTAAGCCTCTAGTCACTTCCAGACTATTACTTCTGATATGTTGATCAATAAATTGAATCTTTCTAGACTCATCACAGCTCCCAGTGAGCATGAGCTCAAAAATGACCAAAATACCCCCTATGGGGCTCAAATATTGATTTCCAATCAAATGAACCCCGAATTGAATGCAACCACTTCCAGCAAGTTTCAAATGTCATTTCAAACCTGTTGGACCCATTCCCAACCCCTGGGTCAACCTGGTTGACCAAGTTAACAGGTTTGACCAAAGGGGCCCTTTAAGGGTCCAAATAGGTGTTTTGAACCAAATGACCTCCCCAGACCCTAGGACCATATCCAATAGACTCTAAATATCATTTGAAATTTGTTGAACCCATTTCTAGACCCTGGACCTAGCTGGTTGACCAAGTCAACCAATTTTAGCTTAAGGGCCCATTAAGCCCTCTTAACCCAAATGACCTACATAAACTTTGGAATGGCCCTCACCAACACCCATAACTTTCTCCTAGTCCACATCATTCACCCTATTGACTGGTTGACTAGTCAACCTAGTCAACAAGTTTACTTGAAATAGGCTTAAATGCCCATTTGGCTTGACTCAAGTTAGCTCAAAACTTACCAATCCACTCATTTCTATTCCAACAGCTCTAAGCCCTTCTAGAGACTTTTTAGGCTGATTATTAACCTTTGGATCAATGTCCAATGGTTTGGATGACTTCCACATGGGCAAATGAGGACAAGACCACCTTTCTATGTAGGTGTCCTTGCATTTGTCCTTGGCCCCTGCTCTCACCAATTTCTAGGCCTGATGGCATGCATCAAGGAGGCTTCCAAGTCAATCATAGCCATCCATTTGGCCAAGATATTTTTTTAAAAAAAAAGAGAAGGGATTAAAAAGAGGAGATTCATTCTAATCCAAAGATTAACAAAAACCTATCCATCTCTAAAGCTCTCCCAGCTTTAAGACTCCTCTTAGAGCTGCTCCAGACTAATTCCTAGCCTTCCCAAACTGTTTTCCATCAAATCCAAGTCTCCAAAACACTCATTGGTGAAGAGAGAGAGGATCTGGAAATTTATGAATAACTCCAAATCCAGAAAGATCCAGCTCTTTGAGACTTCACCAAAGTTGAAGAGGACATCTTCATCTTTCCAACAAGCCCAAGAAGTCAAAAATCCATCAGTTAGATTATAAGTTATTTAAGTTTTAAGTTTAAATTTAAATTTGAAACTGAAGCAAATCTACAGTGCATGGAGCTCTAAAAATCCATGTATTGGAAGATTATGCTAACATCAATCTATGTTTCAAATTTCATCAAGTTTGGTTAAGTATTTTAGAAGATATAGGCCTTTAAAAATCTCCAGTTTTGGCAGATCAGGACCGTCTGATCGATCGATCGGACGATCCAGATCAGATCTAGAACCCGCGCGCCTTACCTGGGATTCGAACCCGGGTCTTCTGGCCAGACCGCACGGGTGACTTGGCGCCATCTAGGCGCTCGGATCGGATCTCGTTTGATCCGATTGAATGGCTGCCGTTCATGCCGATGTGGTTAAGTGACCACGCGAGATCACGCCACGTGTCAAGGCCGCGGCATAGTGCCACCGTCCAGCCAATCATTGCCAATGACTGGTTTGGCGGCGCCGGCGGCCCGATTTGACTAAAATGATTTTAAAAATCATTTAAATGCCCAAAAACTTCTAAAATTCATGGTAAATCCATTTTCTCACCACAATCAGTGTTTTAGGGCTTGTTGGAAAGCTCTTGAGCTCTATTTTTTACTGAAAGTAAATTAAACATATTTTGATCATTGGTTTTTGAGAAATTTGGGTTTATATGAAATCCAATTTTCTAAATTTTCTTTTAATCCAGTGGTCAAATGATGTCAAGATTTTGGTGAGACAATTTTGGACATCTTAGGCATTATCTGTAATTTTTCTAGGTCCATATGTCCAGTGGATTGCTGTGGGGTGAATTTACAAAGTATTGGGTCCATTTTGGACCAAAAACTTTGGAAATTCATAACTCTCCAAACTAGGAAAATTAGGCTTCCTAATTTCTGTGGTGTGTTTGTGTATGGTTAAGGGTTAGATGAACAGAGATTTAGACCTAATGGAATACTAGTACCACCTAGGAAAAATAATAATGATAAGGTCTAGCTAACTTAGAAAAATCCTAGGAAATTCTACACACACCCAATAGGGGTGAAACTTGAACACAGTAAACATAGTGACATTTTACACCTTAGGTTCAAATTTCACCTAATTTGGAGTTGATTAGGTCAGAAAATTAAACAAGTCCATGTTAACCGCTTAATTAAGCTTTAAAACTTCTAGAAATTCCAATAAAACAAGTTTAAATCCAAAAAATACCAAAAACCCTTCAAACTGACCAGAATCATGTCCTTAATCAAAGAAAATTAAAATCCCATTTATCAGACATCAAATCAAATCTTAATTTAATTTTAATTAAAAACTAATATTTAATTAAAATAAATAATTAATAATAATTAAAAATTCCAAAAAATTCCCAAACACTTGAGAATCACTTCTTAGGTTATCTCTGACATTTGGAGTTGATTTCAAGAAGTTTGGAATTCATTTGGAGCAAAATCAAGAAAACCCTTCTAATTAAACAATTTTAAAAAATCAATAAATACATCAAACTTTGAAAAATCATAACTAACTCTAGAAAAACTCAATTGAACAAACGCACTTGCATTCAACTCAAAATCAAGTCTAGTATTATCAAAAAAATTTCAAACCTTCCAAAATCAGTCAAAGTCAAAAGTCAACAAATTGGTCAACCTAGGTCAAATCTTCGAACCTTCATAACTAATTGTAGAAAAATCCGATTTCAGTGTACTTACCTTCTAATTGATCGTCATTAGGTCTAGTATTAATAAAATATTAACTTTCTAGAAAACACTCATAATTGAAAAGTCAATTTTTGACCCCTTGATTAAATGATTAGAATAATCCAGAAGATTCCTAAAAACTCAAAATCACTCTAAAACTCCAGAAATCATTAATCAACCTTAAAATCAATTTCAACTCATTAATACTTAAATTCAAATTTAAATCTTCCCTTCAGCCTTTCAACCAACCAGAACTTCGAACAACTTTAACAATTTGC